TCTTGACATGGGTCTCCACTGACTCCGCGAGCCTTGCGCCCCGCGATGCGCGACGCGCGATGAAGGGCAACCACTCTGGCCCAGACCGGAAGGGGAACGTCGTCGGAGGAGGAGGAGGAGCAGCATGAGGAGGAGAAGGAAAAGGAGGAGGGAGGGAAGGGGAGGGGGGGAGAAGGGGGAGGGGGAGGGGGAAGGAAAAAGAGGAGGAGGAGGAGGGAGGAGAAGGAGGATAAGGAGACGAGGTGGAGGATGAGGAGGAGGAGGAAGAGGAGGAGGAGGAGGAGGAGGGAGGAGGGAGGAGGAGGAGGGGAGGGGGGGGGAGACTGGCTCAAGGGGGAGGGGGGAGGGGGGGCAGCATCGACCTGGAATGGGCGATACATCGCCGATAGATCGGCGACACGTTCCCGACAGCGGACCCGCACGATCATGGGCGGTGTGGGCCATCGGGGCCCCTATCGGCGGCGGATGGACGATTGGGGGTCGATGCGCCCCCTCCTGAGCCTAGCCCCTCGTGGCGTTCGGGTCATACCTCGGCTCTCCCGTGGCCGCTTGGGACGATACGGAAGGCCCGGCGAGGCGCCGCCGCTGGAAGGCATCCCGAGGCTGGAAAACCACCGACAACCCGACGAGAACGCCGGAAAACCTGGAACCTGAAGGCCGCGGCGCGCGGGGCGCGATGATCTCCACGCCCCCGCGGGCGCTGCGCCTGCCGCACAGGTCCCCGGGAGCGGCCGCCCCCGTCGGAGGGCGACGGCGAGGCGCTCCCGCCCCCCTCGGTGCCGCAGAGCTGCGGGCGCGAGGGCGGCACCCAACCAGCCGCTGCCACAGGCCAGGGCGGGGCGGCGGCCGCGAGGTCGGAGCGGGCCGGATCGGAACCGGAGCGGATCGCCGAGCTCGAGGCCCCGAGGCCCGGACCCCCGACGCGGTCAACATCTGCTCAGGGCGTGGACCCCAGAGGTCTCGACCCCATATTCCCTGGGACCGGCTTCTCATCCCGCGTCGTTTCTGGACGGTCCTGGGGCCTGGTGAGGGGAGGGCCCCCAGAGGCCGACACATGCCAAAAACTCCTGGCGATACTTTGTCCGCTCGGCGGTGCGCCCAGGGGAAGTGAGAAGGATCAGGCTTTCTCGGAAGCCCTCGCGCCCTCTGACAAGGCCTGAAGCCTCTTGGCCTTTCGAGAAGGCCCACCGCTTGTCATTCCCCCCCAGGCTCACCGCCGACTCATGACCCTGAGGCACCAGCAGCGGGCAGCCAGAGGGACACCAGCAGCGGAGGCACCAGCAGCGGGCGGCCAGGGGGCATTTTTCCACTGCCACGGCTCTCTCCACCCACGGCGGCTGGGGCCATCTCCGGCCCAAGGGGAGATTTTTCCACAGAGGCACCGGCAGCGGGCGGCCACGGCCCGCCCCTCTGCAGGGGTAAGAGTAAAGGGGGGCGCCGCTACCGCCGCGCGAGGCGCCCTGCCATCGCATTCGACGCTGGGGGGGGGAGATCTGCTCCTCAAACAGGACGGAGGGAAGAGGAGGAGGGGGAGGAAGGACGACGAAGGAAGGGGGGACGAAGGAGGAAGGAGGGAGAAGGGATAAGGAATGAGGGAGGGGGAGAGAGGAGGCTGATGGCTGACGGCTCCACGTGTTCTGTCACATAACTGCAACTCTTGTAATGCCATCGCGGGCACAGTGGTACCAACAGAAATCGTACAGAGGGCGGCAAGTCGTAGACGAGGGGAGTACACGATGGATTGACGACAGCGCAACCTTTCTTTCTGCTACGCTATCAGTCCGGTTTGAACCTTAAGCCGACATGGAAAAGGCAAATACATAATACACATGCACATGTCTATGGCGGTGCAATTGTCCCTGCGCTCCGGCAAGGCTCTGATTTCTGAGCGACTGGCGCACTGGCGGATCGATTCTCGCAGCGGCAGATATTCTGGCCACCTCTAGCGGCTAAAAAACACCTGGGATTAGAGAACTGGCGGGTCTAGAGCTTGGGACGCTCATGCATGACACGATTCGTATCTGATTCAAAACCATATTAAAAGTATAATACAGCCACAACGCCTAAACGCTGGCCAAGGAAGGTTGCATTGGAACTGGGCTTTGTTCCTCACAATGACTGCCTAACTACCGAACAACGCCAACCCGACCCGACGACCCGGATTTCGGGTTGGGGGTGTACGGGCTTCACATGTGTTTTTGTCCATGTTCCCCGACCCCCCCCCCCTTGGAGATGGAGGGCAAGCTGGAGCCTTCGGGTTGGGTTGGGGTGTGGTTTGGTGGGCGGCGACACAGGTTCACGTGCAGCGCCCTCAGTGACCTGGTCACCGGCAGCGAGAGGTCCGACTCCTGGGCGTGCCGGCCCCGCCGCTCTCAAGTGGGCGCGCCTTCCACCGGGGCCCCCGCGCTCGTGGTCCGCGACGCCGCCGTCGTCGGCGATCGCACGGGCTCCCCGCCCAACGGCGGACCTCGAGTAGAAAGATCGTTCCGTCGAGCGCTGCAGTCGGTGCAAATGCTTGCCCGCGCATGCTGCCCTCACTGACGCTGCCGCCGCATGTTCTTTCCGGGGAGGTGGGCCCGGAGGTGCTCACGCGCCAGGGAGGAGGGAGGAGGAGGGAGGAGGCAGAGAAGGAGGGAGAGAGGAAGGAAGGAAGGAAGGAAGGAAGGAAGGAAGGAAGGAAGGAAGGAAGGAAGGAAGGAAGGAAGGAAGGAAGGAAGGAAGGAAGGAAGGAAGGAGGAGGAGGAGGAGGAGGAGGAGGAGGAGGGAGGGAGGGAGGGAGGGAGGGAGTGAGGGACGACAGTCGCGAAGCGGTAAGGGTAGTTTATTTGTTGTGTTTCTTTGGGTTTTGAGTTTTTTTACTGGGGTCTTTTTATTTGTTTTAAGTCTCTGAGTTGATGCGAAGGGAGGAAGGGAGGAAGAAGGAAGGGAGGGTAGGGAGGGAGAGAGGGGGAGAAGGGAGGGAGGGAGGAGAGGGAGGGGAGAAGGGAGAAGGGAGGGAGGAAGCAAGGAAGGAAGGGAGGGAGGGAGGGAGAGAGGGAGGAGGGAGGGAGGGAGGGAGGGAGGGAGGGAGGAGGAAGGGGGAGGGGGATGAGGAGGAAGGGGGAGGGGGATGATGATGATGATGAGGAGGAGGAGGAGGCCGCCTCACCAAGCAGAGCTGTCCCGACTACGGGGATGGGCGCGCAGCGCCGTAGCGCTCAGCTGGTGACGTGGAGTCGAGAAATCTGTCTTCAAGTGCAGACTACTGCTCAGCAGAGATGGGCAGAAGAAACCACTTGCCATTCCTTGCAAGTCCTTTTGATTGCGGATAGCTGCACATGTCGTCTGCCCACTTCTTATGTGGACGATCAGGGGCAGGAGAAAGAAGAGAAGAAAGGGCAGAATCGAAGGTGTGGAAGCCTCGCACGCTAATGGACGGTCGGTTGAACCCCGCAACCCCACCCCCCCTTGGGCTCGTGCGCATCGCGCACAGACGCAGGCGGCAGCGCTTCCTCCTTCCTCCTTGCGTTTTTGTTGCTCGTTCCTCCTCCCTCCCCGTTCCTCCTCTACTCCTCCTTCCTCTCCTGTGCTCCGCATTTGCTCCCTCAGCTCCTCCCTTGCCCCGCCTTCCTCCTCCCTCCCCCCTGCTCCTCGAACAGGACAGGGCAGCGCAGGGAGAGGGCGGGCCAGCGCGGGGGCCGTCGGGCGACAGAGGGCACCAGGCAGGCGGACGTGCCAGAGGCCCTGAGGGGACCTCCAGGGGCCTCCTCCCTGCCCACGCTCCTAATTGGCGGCGCGCAGAAGGGGGGGGAGGGGGAGGATACAAACAGGCTGCTTCGTAGAAGGCGCCAGCGTTACATCTACAGACAAGGCCCGCGCCGTCCAAGAAGCCGTCCGCCCTCCCCCTACCCCCCTCTGCGCGTGGCCGACCTTTGATGGGCAACGTTCGGGGGGGACCAACTCAGGGAAGGGGGGGAACACCGACCTGGAATCGGCGGTACATCGCCGGTAGATCGGCGAGGAGCCCCCGAGAGCGAATCCGCACGTTCATGGGCGGGGTGGGGCTATCGGGCCCCTAAATATAGCAGCGATCCATGGGCGAGGGTGAACAGAGAGCGAACGTGGAGGAGGAGGAGGAGGAGGAGGAGGAGGAGGAGGAGGAAGAGGAGGAGGAGGGGAAGGAGGAGGGCCCATGCACCCCACCCCCCCTGAGCCTCCTCCCCCCCCTAGCGTTGCCCCCGAGCCCTCCCTGCCTCCCTCCCTGCCTCTGCACCTGCCCGGAGCGAGTCGGCGGAGCGCGGCGGGAGCGTCTGCTTCCACGAGGGCGCCGAACTTCGCGCTTCGCGCTTCGCGCTTCGCGCTGCGCGAAGCCCGAAGCGCGCACAACCCCCCCGAGGGAGAAGAGGAGCTGAGTACGGCTGGGGGGTCAGGTCCGCAGAACACCCCAGACGGACGTCAAGGGGCGCAATCAACCTGCTCGGTCAAGCTGAAATTGATGCACCACACCCAGCGTCAAGCCGAAACTTTGGACATAAGCGAACGATTAGATTTTGCACCTCTTCGTCGGCTTAACCGGCGAGGCACTTGACCACCTTGACGTCCTTGATTTGGTGGTTCTGCAGAGGAACATGCTCTCGGAGGACGAGGAGGAATCGGAGCCGAACCGCGAACCGCGAGGCGCGAATGACACCCGCGGCCTCGAGGGCGCCCTAGCTCCAGCGACGGGGCGCGTCCTTGCGGTAGTGGCCCGCGCCCAGCGCCTTCTCCAGCTGTGCCGCGCCCTTCTTGGGGGCCTCCGCCGCCCGAGGGCCGCGCCCCGCCATCGCGCAGCGCGAGGCGCGGCCCTCGGGGAAGCCAGCAGGCACCAATGCCGCTGCAGTCGGGCTGATGCCGCAAGGAGCGAGAAAAATTGGGAACGAAGGGGACCTCTCCTCGCCACAGCGAGCCGCGCCCACGGATAGGCTCCCCGACCCTGATCGGCCCAAAAACAAGAGCCCCTCCTGAGCCCAAGGCGGTCCTCAGGTCAGCGTCTTGACTGCACTCCCCGGACCTCTCCTGGGGTGCGCTTTGACCAGATCTGAACTTCGAGGCGAGCCCAGCGGTGGCGGCGACGAGGACCCTCCCAGGAGGCCCCAAAAGGGCGAAGGTTGTTCTTGTTCTTTATAATATAGTTAGTATACATAGCACAAGTCATAGTATCAGCATTGTTATTCTCATGTATTATGATTGTTATGATTAGTAATAGTCTTAGTATTATTTATATTATTCTTCTCCTTATTAATATTACTAGCATTCGCACTCTTATTAGTATTAATAAGATTAGTCGTATGCTGAGTAGCATTCCTCCTAGTATTCGCATAAGTGTTAGTCTTAGTGTTCCTCCCCGTCATAGCATTATATTTATTATTAGTATCGTTATTACTTGTCGTAGAATTAGTCTTATTACCATTCGGATTAGCATTATTCTTATTATCGGTAGTACTAGTGTTATGGTTATGCGTTATCTTCTTACGATTAATATTGTTATTAACATTCGCAGTTTCATTCGTACTATGATTCGCCGTATTATAGATGTTAGTGCTAGTGTTCGTCTTGATGCTTCGTATTATGCGTTATTATGTTTGTGTCCGATTAGTGTTGTTAGTCCTCTTTGTATTATTATCATTCGTAACATTATTATTATTAGTAGTATTATTCCTCCTCCTCCTCCTCCTGCTCCTCCTCCTCCTCTTCCTCCCCCTCCTCCTCTCCCTCATCCCTCCTCCCTCCCCCTCTCCCTCCTCCCTCCTCCCTCTTCCCCCTCCTCCTCCTCCTCCCTCCTCCCTCCTCCCTCCTCCTCCTCCTCCTCCTCCTCCTCCTCCTCCTCCTCCTCCCCTCCTCCTTCCTCCCTCCTCCTCCAACTCCTCCTCCTCCTCCTCCTCCTCCTCCTCCTCCTCCTCCTCCTCCTCCTCCTCCTCCTCCTCCTCCTCCTCCTCATCCTCCTCCTCCTCCTCCTCCTCCTCCTCCTCCTCCTCCTCCTCCTATTGTTTCCCCATCCTCCCCCTCCTCCTCTGTTTGCTCCCCCACGCGTTCCCCGAAGTCTTTCCAAACCGATTTGGGGAAAAACTGGCCCGATAGCTTGGCCAAGCTCTGGCCCAGCTGTCGGCCACAGAGGCGTTTCCAGGGCAGGGGGCGGCGGTGATTCGCCGTAGGCGTCCTTGATAAGAGTAGAGGATACACTCATCTCCACACACGCCTGGCAATCCTGAAGAAATCCTAGAATATGTCTCTGTCGTTTCACACATGTTGGCTGCACTCTGGCTTCAGCGCAAAAAAAATGGCATCGACCAAACACATGAAACATGATGGAAACCTTCCACGCTCTTGCCGTGCCAGCTTCTCCCGGAACGGAACTGGTAGATCAGCGTCAGAACATGTCTCACACAGCATGAGAACCCGTAGCCTGCACGTGAATTTGTTCGTCCCCCTTGCATCGAGAGCCCAACCCCCAATTAATCATGCGCGCTGCGACCCCTCAGAATGCCTCGTGCTTGGAAACCAAACAGAAGGTAAGGCCGATGGTCATGCAGCGAATGCGTTCCAAAAAAAACCGTCGTGCCATCACGTCATGGCAATATGTGTTGCGGCGGCGGTGGTCACAACATGCGGGAAGCAAGTCCGAAGCAGAGCAACATGCATCACGACCACGATGACGCCGACGACGGCGACGACGACGACGACGACAACGACCGACGACGACGACAACGACGACGACGACGACAACGACGACGGAGACGAGGCGCGCTAACCAACCGCACCGAAGCACGGATTTGGGAGAGAAAAAAAAAAAAAAAAAAAAAAAAAAAAAAAAAAAAAAACTGCGAGGTTTGGTACATTTTCTTGTCGCAGCGACGAGGATCCTAGCCGCGTTCTGGAGCAGACGTGGAGTGCACGAGGCCGAAGTGGGCACGGCGGGCAGCAGGGGGAACGAGCGCACTCGGAACACGTAGTCCATCGGCGTGGGTGGCCGAGCCCTCGCACAACGAGAAGACGAAAGACCTAGCGTCAGGTCGGGCATGTCCCCCTGCAGAGGGCTTTTCGACGAAAAATAGGAAATGCCCCGAAAATACCCCAAAACTGCCGAAAATCGTCAAAAATCGCCCCCCTGGCCATTTTTCCGCCATTTTGGGATATTCCCCCTGCAGAGGGACAGGCCCGCCTTAAACCTAGCAGGAGGCTTGGCACACTGGGGCGGAGCGGGCCTCCGTCCAGAGCACCCGGCTGCGCGCGTCGCGCTCCGCGCGGTGTGCGAGGCACGGTCGACTGCTCCCTCTGCTGCCGCTCCCGCGGCAGGAGAGGGCGGCTGCCTGGCCCAGCCTGAGGCGCGCCAGGCGCGTCTCTCGCTGTGCCCCCGCGAGTGAGCTCAGCGCTCATAGCAACAACGAAGCAGTCCGACATCAGAGAAAGACCTGATGGTGCAAAAACGCACAACGGCGAACTGACAAGCAGAACGTGCTGCTGGGCGTGCCCCTGGAGCTGGAGAGCTCCGCAGGATGGAAAGAACGCTTGATCAAAGGGGGGGACGCCAGCTATACGCAAACCGAGCCTGGCCAAACTCATTCTGGGCCCAGGATTCCGGCCCGAAACGAAAGTGCACGGCCCGATCTTGACCAGGAAGGAATATACAGTCGGGGCGTTGACCTACGGAACCCTGAATACGAACGAGGCCATTGGTTTCCAAAAGTTAGACTTCGATTTCCCATTGAAAACGTAAGGAAGGCAAACTGCAAAACCACTCAGGAATGCTGAGTCCCTCCCAAACGAAAAGGATTCCGTCTTCAGCGCCCCGGCTGTACGATCATGGGCCCCGGATGGGCCCTGCCAAGATCGGTGCAGGTGCATAGCTGCCGCCCTCGATCCAGGGGGTCGAAACAGTTCTTTGATTCGCGGGTCGAGAGCGCACCTCTTCCGGTCGAAGCTAAGCGGGCCGCGCGAAGCTTGAATTAACCAGAGACAGGGGGTCGAAACGGTTGACTCTGCGGTGCAGCTCCGGGGAGCCCAGCCCCTCTTCCTCATCGTACGCATTATCGAGGAACGACGGAACACAAGCAGTTGCAAGCAACGGTCCCTTGGTGTAGACGCCAAGAACAAACACCCATGTCTGTGCTATAAGCGCATCGCCAAACGGAAGCGAGTGCAGAAACAAATGTTGCACGTGGGCGATGCACCAAGCAATGAGCCACATCAAAGCACGAAGCATGGAAACCAAGGCGCGCACACACACACACACACACACACACACACACACACACACACACACACACACACACACACACACACACAACACACATCAGACAAACAAACAACAGCAAAAAACGGAACGACCAGGCGAGTTATGTAAACGATGCAGCTGAGGTAAACAGAACTTGTGCACGCTGCACGAAGATAAGATAGCACTAGGCCTAGCAGTACATCCTGCCCTCGTCGCTCCTCCTTCCCCCTGATCCCTCCTCAAATGGTCATCCCTGTCCCCTGAGACCCGCGCCTTCTTGATGCCCTTCTCGAGGTACAGAGACTTGGGCACGTTGGACTTCGACTCTTTCTTGTGGCGAGTTGTCAGAATGATGTTCTCCTTCCACGGAGAATCCACAGGTGCGGCTCAGGGAGAAGCCAAGAGCACAAGCACGAGCAGCCAGGAAGACGGGGCAGGGAGCACTGCGAGAGAGGATGGGGGGGTCCGAAACGTCGGGGCAAAGAGGAACCAGGGCGAAGAGCCCCGAGTGGGGAAAGGGAAGACCGAGAGGAGTGGGGCAGGGAGAAAAACAGGAGAAGCCGACAACGTCCCGACTATAGAGGTCTCTGGGGGCCCCCAGAGTCCCCCCAGATGCCCGCTCGGCAGCGCCAGCGATCGCAGGCGCGTCTGTGCGGAGCTGGCGGGCCGCGCCGGGCGCGCTAGGGTGGGTGGAAAGAAGAGGAAGCCCAAGAAGAGCAGAAGACGTAGAACCACCTCGGCCCTCGATCATAGATCCTCCTTCTCCTCCCCCCATCCTCATCGGCGGGTTCTTCCCATGCGAGTGGCACCCGCCCGGCAGTTGTGAGCTTGACTCGCGCCGTCGAGGAGGACCGAACCGAGCCCCCCTCAGGGCCCTTTCAAAGGGGACTTTGATAAACCAGGACATTGGCGCACCTGAGAGAAGTACAGCCGCGGGGCGAGAGATCTCCCACTGTTCGTTCCCTCCAGGTGAATCTGGCAGGGCCCTGGTTCGCAACGTCCTGGTCTCCAGCGCCCGGCCAGGATCGGTGCAGGTGGATATGGCTGGCGCTCCCCCGGGCTTCTGGGAAGGAGAGCAGCGGGTCCTTCTTGCCGTTCTTGGTGGAGGCGAGCCCCACCACCTGCCAGGGCGGAGAGGGGGGGCCTGGCTCCTCATCCCTCTCGTCCCTACTCGTCCCTCCTCGTCCCTCCTCCTCCTCCTCCTCCTCCTCCTCCTCCTCCTCCTCCTCCTCCTCCTTCACTACCACCACCACCACCTCCTCCTCCTCCACCTCCTCCTCCATTCCTTCTCCTTATAGATAACTCCTCCCTGCCGCACCCCGAGGCCAGTTTTTTAAGGCGGGCCGGGCGTTTCGCCTGAGACTCTGAAGCTTAAAAGTGACAAAAGTTTCACAGATGGAGGGCGGGTCCCTTTCAAAATGTGGCTCTCCGCACATTCGTGTTCAAATTTGCAGGAACTGCACGAATTGAGGGCGGGTCGTCTTCAAAATGTGGCTCTCGCCTTGGCGCCGCGTACATGTTTAAAAACATGTGCAAGAGTTTCCCCGGATTGAGGGCGCATCGTTTTCAAAATGTGGCTCTCGCCTTAGTGCCGCGTACACTCGTGTTTAAAAAATTGCAAAAAGTTTCACCGATTGACGACGGTTCCTTTTCAAGATGTGGCTCTCGCCTCAGCGCCGCGCACATTCTTTTCTAAAAGTTTGCAAGAGTTTCACGGATTGAGGGCGGTTCCTTTTCAAAATGTGGCTCTCGCCTGAGCGCCGCACACATTCATTTTAAAAAGTTGCAAGAGTCCACGGATTCCCATAATCTACGTACCAGAAATGGCGTGTTGGAAAGATTCTGGATTACGGGGGCGCAACAGTTATGTTGATTCGCGGAGTTGAAGTCCCAAAGAAGGCGTTCTGGCACGATTCTGGATCGTCAAGACGCAGCAGTCAGGTGTGGCGTTGAAATCCCGAGAACAAAGTTTTGGCACGCTTGAGGATCTTCAAACTGTTGTCTTCCAACGAGGCAGTTCCCTCAATGGAAATCAATCGTTGTAGGGGCCACTGAAGAGGGAGCTTGAAGGGAGGGATAATTCAGACATCGTGGATGACTCTTGGGTTTCCACTGGTCCTCCTCCTCCTCCTCCTCACCGACATCCTCCTCCTCATCCTCCTCCTCCACCTCTTACATCTCATGTTTTCTGGCACGATTTAAGATTGTCAGGGCACAACAGTAACGTGGATTCGCGATGCTGAAGTCCAAGGAAGCGTGTTCTGACACGACTCCGGATCGTCAGGACTTAACACTCAAGTTGATTCGCGGCGTTGAAGTCCACGGAGTGGTGTTTGAGTACGATTGAGGATGTCTCGGACGATGGTCAACTACCATCAATCTTTCTGCAGCACAAGATGAACGATGGTTCGCACGTCTGATGAAGTGGGTGCCGTGGCTTCGAGTACACGCACGACGAAGCGTAGGAGGCCAGCGCAAACGCTGGTGCGATTGACGCATTAGCTCTCTCCTTGCCGTTCGTGTCGTCGTCGCTCCCCCCTCCCTCCTCGTGTTCCTCCTTGCTGGGAGCCTTAAGGCAAACACCGGTTGGCGTGGGCATGCCCGTGGGTATTGCCCTTCCCTCCTTAGGAGGGTCGGGCCGTGCCCCGTGGCACGCCGAGGCTGGCTTGTGCTGTCTTGCCCGCCTGCAATGTCTCAATACGCTTCACACCACAGTGATCAATTCGTCTCACACCACGCTGATCAATTTTCTGGTCCAGCGCACTGCTGGGGAGGACGACCCGCGCTGCCTCCCTACGGGCCGCTGCTCCGCTGCTGCTCCGCTTGCCTTTCAACGGGGCACTTCCGCCTCGGGCAGTTAGACTCAAGTCTCGCAGGCACCTGAGAAGAGAAAACTTGGAGGGAGGGTATGTAGGAGCATGCGCCTTCACGTCACACTGGTCCTCCTCCTCCTCCTCTTCCTCCTCCACCTCCTCAACCTCCACCTTCACGTCCACCTCCTCCTCCTCCTCCTCGTCCTCCTAGAGCATGAGGAGCGATACTGATCGAATCGCGACTCGGGAGATCAGATCGGACCGGAATGTGCATCGGAGCGGACCTCGCCAGGATGCACGACGGCACAAAGGCAAACATCGGGCCGCATCGCGTCATCAGAAGATCGGAATCGAATCGGACCGGGCCAGCCAAAATCCACACCGAATCGGATCGATCGGATCGCAATGGACTCAGCACTGGTGGCCACAGGGCACATGGAGGCACAGACCAGGAGAGTCCCTGCCTCTCCCCCTCATCGCGTGCGCGCTGCGCCTTCCTCCCTCCCCCTGTCCCTTCCAGATCAGAGCTGTCACGCCTGCTTGTTGGCCAAGCCGCTGAACTTGAAGGAGTGGAGGCCGCACAAATTTCCAGTCTCCGCGGACATCGTCTGCCGGCAAACAAGAGCGCGGGCAAGAGGGGACAGGCGCAGAGGGTGTGACGGTTGCGGCGAGAAGGTGAATGCCAACGGCAGCAGCTGCACAAATGCCGTCGAAACACGATGAGTAGAGTTAAGCCCAGAACCAACAGAGGGAACGCCGAAGAGAAAGAGCAGAGCACGGAACGATGGAAGACACGGGAGCAAGACGGAGAAAAGGCCTGACCGAGGCAGAGAAGCCTGACCAGCAGGAGAGCGCGCAAAAGAGCCACAGCCCTAATAGCAGAGGCTGTCAGAGTGGTGTGCCGTGATGCCGAGCGCACTGCCGTTTTCGCAGAAGGAAGTGCGGCAAGCGATCTTCTCGAGAATGTAGTTCCTACTCGCCCTCCTACGCCTTCTCCGCCTGCTCCTCCTCCGCAGCAGCATCCTCCTTCTCCTCCACCTCCTCCTCCTGTTCCTCCTCCTCCTCCTCCTCCTCCTCCTCCTCCTCCTCCTCCTCCGCTTTCTCCTCCTCCTCGCCCTCCTCCTGCTCACCCTCCACTCTCCCCCCCTCCTCTTTCCCGCCCCCTTCGCCAAAGGATGTGCTCCGTCGGCGCGCTGCTCCCCCAGCGCGCAATGCCCGCCTCCCGAGATACGAAAGGTGGCAAGAACGGCATAAACAAGTTGCCGCAGGCGCAGGCGGGGCGAAAGGCTGCCTTGTTCCCAGCTCCAGGGCTCTTCCTCATGAAGGAGTTGTTGGCCTCGGCGCCACGAGCTCAGCGACCCCGCTTCCCGTCGCTCGTGCATGATGAAGCGAAATGCAGTGTCAGACTGTGCTACAGTAGACTTGAACGTGGCTGCGCTCCGCTGAGCTGAGCACGCAATTTACAGCTGGCACAGCGTAGCTCTGGACATATAATGTTCACGCTGATTGTCTGAGCCCATTTGGAGCAAATAAGCTGATATATAGCTGTGCTTGGCCGCAATTAGCTTGTGCTTCAAGCCATACAACTAGCTTGGATAGACTAGATCAGCCCAGACTCAACAGCTGGCGCTTGGATATGCCACACCCAGCCCAGCTTGAAAAACGTTCCTTCATACTAGGCTGGCCTTGTCTTCGCTGTACGTTAGCCGATCCTACCCAAGATCAAACTAGGCTCGTCTATAGCGAAGCTCATCAGCTGACTTCAAGTCAGACTCGCCCAAACCGCATAGCTCTTCGTGGACTCATGTGGCATGTCCCAGCCAAGCATGACACGCGCTTTAGAATTCCCACCAGCCCTCTGGGCGTAGGTGGTCCAGAGAGGTTCCTCTTTCAACCCCCTTCTTTCCCTTCGGGGAAGGGTTTATCAATGTTCCCTATTAATACACACCCACTCCCCCAGGCGACTAGCGGCCAACCAGGAGCCATGCTCCCCCCCGACCATCCCTGTCAAAAAACAATACGAAACGCACTCTGCCTCCAAATTTGGAGCATGCGCGGCCATGCGCCCCCCCGACCATCCCTGTCAAAAACAATACGAAGTACACTGTTGGGGCAACCTCTTGAGTCATGCTCGTGAGGCCCGCGAGCACTTGTATTTGTTTGAGAATAACGGTGGGGGTGTCAGCATATTGCCTGCTGCGCGCAGGGTCCCACCTGCCAAGAAACACTACAAAATGCACCTCGCGGCTAAATCTGGATAGTGCGTGGCCACCCTGCGATCACTGTGAAGTGCTTTTTGACAGGGACGGCGGGGGTGGTGGCGTAAGGCCTGCTGTGCACAGGCCAACCAGACACAATAATGGGCAGTGGTTTTCGACAGGTATGGTGGGGGCCGACATGTTTCCTGATGTGTGCTGTCACATGCGCAGGCGCAACTGACACACTCTGCACGTGCCCCGAACGTGGCGAACCTGGCGCGGCTGGAGTGTGCGGCACACCTTGCGCACTCGGAGCACGTGGTGCATCTGGCGCACCAGGGGTACCTGGCACGCTCGGGCCCCAGGGGTGCCTTGCGCGCGTGGCGCGCCTGGCACGCGTGGCGCACCTCGCCCCAGCGTCGCGCACATGGGGTCGGCGTTGGTTCCCAGTAAATGCCAATCCAAAAACGAACGCTGAACATGCTCAGGCTCGGGTGTTACTTATGTGCTGGGAGGGCAGAAGGAGTGAGCTAGACAGCTTGCAATCCAAGGGGTGTCTTGATCACTGTTCCTTATTAACATACACGCCTACCCCCACCCGGCGGGCGGCCAACCCGGAACCATTCCCACTCCATGCGGGCCCGCCCCCCACCAGCCATGTCAAAAAACCATACAAACCGCACGCTGCCTCCACATTTGGAGCATGCGCGGCCAATCCGATGCGCCCCCCCACCATCCCTGTCAAAAACAACGCAAAGTACACTTTTGGGCAAAGTCTTAAGCCATGTTCGTGAGGCCCGCAAGCACTTGGTATTGTGTTTGACAGGGACGGCGGGGGTGTCAGCATATTCCCTGCTGCGCGCAGGGCTACCATCCCTGACAAAAAAACAATAGAACATGCATCTCGCAGCTATATCTGGATCATGCGCGGCCACCCCGCGATCACTGTGAAGTGCTTCTTGACAGGGACGGCGGGGGTGGTGGCGCGTAGCCTGCTGTGCGCAGGCCAACCAGACACAATAATGGGCAGTGGTTCTACACGACAAGGATGGTGGGGGGCGACATGATTCCCGATGTGTGCTGTCACATGCGTAGGCGCACCTGGCGCACTCTGCACGTGCCCCGAACGTGGCGAACCTGGAGCGGCTGGAGTGTGCGGCACACCCGGCGCACTCGGAGCACGTGGCGCATCTGGCGCACCAGGCGTGCCTGGCACGCTCGGGCCCCAGGAGTGCCTGGCACGCATGGCGCCCCTGGCACGCGTGGCGCACCTCGCCCAAGCGTCGCGCACACGGGGTCGGCTTTGGTTTCCACTAGCTGTCGATCCAAAGACGACCGATGATCATGTTTAGGCTCGGGTGTTACTATGTGTCGGGAGGGCGGGTGGGAGTGAGCAAGACGGCCTGCGGGCGGGTGGGTAGCTTGATCACTGCTTCCTATTAATAAACACCCCCTCCCACAGGCGACTGGTAGCCAACCAAGAACCATGAGGGCACCCCCCACACCATCCCTTTATACAAAAAACCATACAAAACACACTATGCCTCCAAATTCGGAGCATGCGCAGCTAACCCGGTCCGGCATCCCCCCACCATCCGTCAAAAAACAATACAGAGCTACACTTGGCGGCGGCGGCGGCGGCGGCGGCTGCGGCGGCTGCGGCGGCGGCGGCTGCGGCGGCGGCGGTGGCGGCGGCGGCGGCGGTGGCGGCAGCGGCAGCGGCTGCGGCGGCTGCTGCTGCGGCGGCGATTTGGCAGCGGGGGCGGCGGCGGAAGCGGCGGCGGGCGGCGCGGCCACGGCGGCGGCGACGGCGGCGGCGGCGGCGGCGCGGCGGCGGCGGCGGGCAGCGGCGGCGGCGGCGGAGGAGGCGGCGGCGGCGGCGGCTGCGGACTGACCCCCAATAGCTGCCCATCCAAAAATGACTGCTGAATATGCTGGGGCTCGGGCCAGATTCGGGATGCTACGTCTGTGTTGGGAGGGCGGGCGGGAGTGAGCGAGACGGCCTGCGGGCGGGGAGGGAGTCTTGACCCCTCCCCCTAACCCCCTACCCTGAACCTGGACGGGGGGGGGCGGCGATGGGCTGGAGCGTCTAAGATGGTCCAGGACGGCTCTAAGAGGACCTCAGAGAGCCCAAGATGACATCCAAGATGGCTCCAAATAGCCTAAGATGCCTCAAGATGGCTCCCAAGATGCCCCATGAGGCCCCAAGACCGCTCCAAGACGACTGCAAGTTTTCAAAGAGCTCCCCAGGGAGGCCCCGAAGAAGCCAAAATCCGTTCGAAACCTGTGGAAATTCAATATGTGTTGTGTTCTCGCCTGTTCGCTTCCGAGCCCACAGAGCGCCCAAAGAGCGCCCAAGAGCGCTCCCATATCGCCCCAAGAACGCCCCAAGAGGCGATGCCTGGACCCCCCCAGGGGGGAGGCAACTGTCCGATATCCCCCAAGATGGCCCCAAGAGCGCCCCTCAAGACCCCAAGCGCGCCCCAAGAGGGCCCCAAGATGCGACTAGACGGCAGTAAGAGGCACCCAAGAGGCATCAAAGAGGTTCCCTAGAGACCCCGAAGAAGCCTCAAGAGGATCCCCGAGGCACCCAAGACGCTCAAAGACGGCCCTGGGCCCGCCAAGATGCCCCAAGACGCTCCAAGAGGCCTCCAAAACGCTTCCAAGACACATCCGACGAGACTCCGAGAGGCACTCAAGAAACTTCTGGCTCTTCTGTTCGCCGTCCTCTTCCTCTTCCTCATGCACCAATTCCTCATCATTTGTCCTGCATCCTCCCCCTCCCCCCCCCTTTTTCGTCGTCCTCCTCCTCCTCCTCCTCCTCCTCCTCCTCATCATCATCATCATCACCATCATCATCATCATCATCACCATCATCATCAGCAGCATCATCATCATCATCATCACCACCACCACCACCACCACCACCATCATCATCATCATCATCGTCATCATCATCATCATCATCATCATCATCATCAGCAGCAGCAGCATCATCATCATCATCATCATCATCATCATCCTCATCATCATCATCATCATCATCGTCGTCCTCATCCTCCTCCTCATCGTCCTCATCCTCCTCCTTTTCCTCGTTTTCCTCTTTCTCGTCGTCCTCGTCCTCGCCATACTACATCTCCGCCTCATCCTCCTCCTCCTCCTCCCTCGTCCTCCTCCTCCTCCTTTTCATCCACCTCCTGCTGTTCATCCTCCTCCCCCAACGACGACGAATTCCTCCGCCATCCTCCTTATCCTGGAGTATATGACGGTATCCCCCGCCCTTTCTTCTGGATGCCCCCCCCCCCCCTATTCCCTGATCACCTCAACTCCTCTGGGCATCGTTTCTGCATGGGCTGGTGGGGATTATTTTTGTTCGGCGGCTCAAAGGACAGATCCAGCGAGCGGGAATAGCGTTCTGGGGCACAGAGCGAGATAGTTGGCTGCAGTGGCACGTAGGCCGCTGTAGCGAGTGCACATGCCAGGGACAAAGTGACCCTCATTGGGGACCGACGCAGGCGGCCCGGCGGATGGGGACGCAAGCACGGTACCGGCGGCGGACGGAGAAGAGCAGTCGCCCTCACGGCGCCAAGCTCCCGCCGAACCGTCCAGCGCGTAAAGGAGCGGAGCACGCTGCACTGTAACGGCACGGGGTGGCCAAGAAGAGAGCAAACTGCAGCCACCGCACACTGAAGGTGAGGCAAGAAGGAACAGGAGACGCAGCGGACGCCAGATGGGCACCCGGCGGCCGGAAAAGGGGAAAGGCACAGAGGGGAGCCTCACTCGCGGTGACTCACTGTTGCAGACGTCAAGTCTGCCGCTCTTGGACGGGAGAGCGACCGATACTCAGTCCGCGAACCTGACGTCACAGTCGCCTATGTCACAGCGTGCAACTTGTCCGACACGGAAGATCGGGGGCGCAAAGTTGCAAGCGCTGGCCGAGGCACCTGCCGAGGGACCAGCCGGGGGGACCGCGATGACCTGCCAAAGGATGAACCACTTGTGCAGGAACTTGAACGCGAGGGCGACAGATACCCCGTCGGCGAACCTGACGTCAAAGCCGCCTGTGTCCACAGCGTGCAACTTGTACGACACTGAAGATCGGGGGCACAAGGTGCAAGCGCTGTCAACAAGGCACCTGCACGAAGGACCAGTCGGAGGAACCGCGATGACCTGCCAAAGGATAAACCACTTGTGCAGGAACACGCCCATGCCAGGCCCGACATCGGGTGGTACCAGAAGCGGGTGGGGTGCGCCAGTCT